GCCCGGATGTAGTTTCCCTCAGGGAGGGCCTAGGTACAAGTGACGGGCCAACATATTGACACCAGGATCTAAATATTCATACAGAGCCATCATTGTTTGAACATTTGGAAACCCAGTATAAAATGTCAACAATGCTTCTCTTTCTTGCATTTTTCTCAAGAGGAGCAATGTTTCCATTTAGGGATAACACCTCGCTCTCTAACTTTTTGTTAATTTCAATAGTTGAGGCTAAAAGTTTCTAGTTGTGCAATTTCCAGATTTTCTTTGGACTGCATATCAAAATTTTTTGAAGATTGCAGTTCTTCAATTTCCAGTGCAAGGTGTGAATTGGATGAGCTTCCTGATGTCTCCAAAATTTTGCTCGAACTGGCAGTTTCTGCAACAAGTCTGGGTTGGGTCACTCTTACATAAATAAAAACCCACAATGTTAAACTGGTTGAAAAATGCCTAAAGGGAATCACCCCAAGTTATTTCTCCAAATATTTTCAAATTAGAAGAAATAATAGTCATCATCAGTTGAAGTTGTGAGCACTGTCATGGCTGCTGAAGCGGGTTTGAAGCTCCTTATTTTTCACTGTGTCATTGTGCTATTAGCGATCAACTTACCTTCTGAATGCGATGGAAGGGTCTAATTACCCAGGTTCAGCTTAATTATTCAAAATCAAAACTTTATTTTCTCAAAAAATCCTGGTCACTTAGCCCAGAATCTGCACTACATCTTAAAACATTTGGAATTTTCAGAAGCTGTGGCTCAATAGGGGGTCGCAGAAATCACCATTCTGAAATATTAGGGACAGTTGACTGTATTTCGAATATTCGCATTGTCCACTCATGCTGATCGATAAGACCAACAAGGAAAACAATGGAAGCAGAAAAATGGCTCTGTACGCTGACTTCCATGAATATAAGTAAATCAACTTTGATACCAAGAATTGTTCCAAAATGTCTTGTGATTAATGCCCACTTGCTCATGAAATCAGACGCAGTCTCTGCCCTTTATGCTGAACTGCTAAAAGGATTGATACTTGTTTTGTTTCTCAAGCTGGCTGCACAAGAATGTTCTTACAACTGTGTTGTAAGGTTTCCAGTGACATTAATGAAAAAATCGTTGAGATGCTCTGCTTTCATTAAATCATCAGTTATTAGTTTGTTGTTGTTATAATCCATAACTGGGACAAAGTTGGTAACTTTGTTTTTCCTTAGCGCTTGGTTTGTCAGGTCCAAAATTTTTTAGGATTGGTTGATTTGTTAAATTGATTATTCCAATAAGCTGCCTTGGCCTTCTTTAACAGATTTTTTTACCTCATTTCTTTTTTTCTATGCTGACTCCATTTCACTGGATCTCCAGAGGCTTTGGCCTCATTTAAGAGCTTAAATCTTTAATTTGTTCATTCCTTTCCTAATGGAAAAGTCAATCCACGGGAGGGATTTAGATCTGATATTTGTTTTGCTGGATGGTAAATGGTGTTCTTATATAATTTTGTATAAGTAGTTCCAGATGAAGGGGCAATCATCTTTATCATCAAACAAATTCACAAGATGCCAAGGAGCATGCTCAAAATCTGTATTAATTTGTTTTTTGTCCACTTGTTTATATTTCTTTGTTGAAATCACAAGTGGCTTGGGAGTACTTCTAACCACTTTAAAAACAGCAAAAATCTTATAGTGGTCAGATATTCCTAATGCCGTGTTTACATTCAAACGTTTACAGCGGTTTAAATTGACCGAGGTCAAGTTAACTGAACGTAAGTAGATTAGTGCAGTGTTTATACTGCCTCAAATAACCAAAGTTAATCTGTCAACACTGCCAAAAATCGAATTGACGGGAAATACAAGCTTATGCGCGCAATTTTTAAAACATGGTTGGTATTAACAAGAAAGCAGTGGCTCTGATAGTCATTGCCTTTTTCTTTTTAATTCTTGAGAAGCAAGTAGAAGTGTCTCGATTAAGACAACTGCTAATACTACAACACCTCAAGAAAGTGAGGCGAAAATGGATGATTTTACTGCAACTTATGCAGCGAAATAGCAGGCGAGGGAGACGTGCTTGGTCCTGGCCAAGGAACCAATTCTGGTTCGAAAACCTACTAAACGGGTCTTTTGTCGAAGATTGGTGGAAGGAGAACTTCCGAATTACAAGACCATCCTTTGAGTTTATTGTCCGTGTGGCTGGTCCGGAGATGGCGAGGAAAGACACCAAACAGCGGCAATCTATCCCAGTGCACAAGCGAGTAGCGGTAGCATTATGGCAACTAGCAACGGGCGACACATACCGATCTACAGGACTACAATTCGGTATTGGATGGTGCACGGCCATGTTGATAAAACAGGATTTTTGCAATGCTATTGCTAAACATGCTAAAGAATTCATCAAATTTCCAGAAACCGAACAAGAGGTGCTACAAAGTATTAGATTGTTTACAAACAAGTCTCCATTTCCCCCAGTAGTAGGGGCTATTGACAGTTGTCATATTGCTTTGAAGACAGTGCCTGTGGACGAGCGAATTGATTACTTCAACCGAAAGCAAGATTATTCTGTTGTGATTCAAGGTGTTGCTGATGTGTCATTTCGATTTCTCGATATAAGTGCAGGCTATCCTGGTAGCATTCACGATGCGTGTGTTCTTCGTTTAAGCAATCTGCACAGGGAAATTGAACAAGCCAACTGGCTGAACGGGCCTACAAAACAAATTTCTGGTTCCAAAATCCCCCCCCCCCCTACCAACAACACAACAACAACACAATCTGTTTTTGGCCAAGAGAGAAGTTTATTCAGCTAGATCCTAGAATAATGAAATAGGACTGAACAGTAACAAACAAGGAAGCGAAATAAACCTCTCTGCCACCTCACCTAAACACACTAACAAGAAATGGGTGGGTGGGCGGGAAAAACAACGCCACTTGACAAAACACTGTTCACGCTACGAGAGCTGTAACAAAACTGAAACGTAATACTGTAAACAATGAAGAATAGACAAAGGTGTGTCGCGTGGCGTGAGGCAATTAATCCCTTTGCGCAATAGTGCCCAAAGAGGGAAAATTAGACCTTTGCTTTTTGGAGACTCAGCATATCCCTTATCTGTTTGGTTAATGAAGCCTTTTAAGCAAACACGTACGTTAAGTGAACGACAACTGCGGTTTAATGGTGCTCTCAGTCAAGCCCGTGTTGTTATTGAACAGGCCTACAGAATCTTGAAAGGGCGGTGGAGGTGCCTTTTCAAGGCAATGGAAGAAAAGACAAGTAGAGTGGCCATCACGATCTTGGCATGCTGTGTTCTTCACAATATTTGTATCGATGTGGGAGACCCTAGCCCCATAGACATATTGGGAGATGACGACAATGACATGGATCAAAGTTTAAATGGAGACGTATCGCTAATTGCGTCTGATGTTAGAGAAAAAATTATGGACTATTTATCAGCTTAGGATAGTAGACAAAAATAGACCAGGCTCATTGATTTTTCGCTTACTCAAGTCATTTTCTTTATTTTCGCGAAAAACTAGCATTGTAGCTCAAGTTTGTACACATGTACATGTAAATATTCCTTAAAGTTTTGAAAGTTAACAAATTTCTCAACTGTTTTGTTTACAAATTATAGACACGGCGATTTTGAGCAATTATTTAAAAATATAAATTGATTGATTAAAGAGTATACGATCAAATACAATTATTCATAATTTTAAAATACCGGATGTTAACATCTCTGGTTTGATTTGTGATCACTAAAAGTTGATCAGCATGTATCCAAAAACGTTTTTTTATCCAAAATCTTTTCAACACAACATTCAGCTAATTAATAAATGATTTTGTATTAATGGATCCACTATTTCGTGACAACAGAACACAACAATAAAAATAAAAAAAATACTAAAAAGGGTGTTCATTCGTTTCCTTTCACTAATGTCCCTGAGGATATTTCCGAGCATAGCAAGGGTATCCATGGAAAACTTCTGCTGATCTTTCCTGTATTCTCTCTCGGCTTCATCCATCTGCTCCATAAAAGCCTCGTCCCTTTCTTGTGAGCGTTCAGGAAATGATATCAAGGTTGGCTCGTCTACTCCTGATGATCTGGCTTTTCCCTTCTTTTTTGTGCCTTTTTTTGATGGCCTTTCTGCTGCATCAGTAGCGTGCTTTCTTGGTAGCTTTTTTCCCACATCAGCCTCGCGCCTCTTCAGTACCTGTGTGCTTGCCAAAGGCTTTTTATTTTTGCCTTTACTCTTAAAAAAGAGGGATTCTGCAAAGGCAAGCGACTGGTCTTTATTGGATTCATCTCCATCAGAAGGCACCGTGCACTCAGATGGAGGAGAAACATTCTGGGCAGTCCCTTGCCTTTGTTTTTGTGCAGCTTGGCAGATTTCCTCATCTAGGGCATCTTTCTCGAGGATATCACGTTCGAGTTCCGACATTTCCGGTGACTCGCTGTCGGGGACGTGAGAGCTTTTGGGCACGTGGCGTGGGTTCATGGATTCCCTTTTACCGAGAATTTCATCCATATCGTTGAAATGTTCTGGTATGATCTCCTCACTTTCTTCACTTTCATTGTAGGATGGCACATCGCCCCCTCTGCTGTATCCTGTCGACCGAAGCTTGTCTTTGGTGTTTTTATACAAAATTTGTCAAATTTGCCAATTTGTTCTTGCACTGTTGTGGCGTTTTGTCGCTGTCTACATTTTGTTCCTTGCACCGTGAGTGAAGCTGGCGAGCAATCGACAGCCATTCAGGGGAGCTGAAGGCTTTGTATTGCAGCTTATCTTCATTTTCTCCAAACAACTCCACTAAGAT